CTATAGACATACCAGGGTAGAAGGCATGGAAATTCATTCATTTCTTTCCTTTGTTGTTCATCTGCTCCATTGGAGGCATTATGACAGCTACTTTCAGAGTATTTCTTCAGCAGAGGACATAGGACTCCAGTTTCTAAGACTCTGTATTCCCTTCCTAAGCAGGAGAGCAGAACGAGGGTGTGTAGAAAGTCGCTAGAGTTGGAGACAGGGTTTTGCAAAGCTTGGTGGTTGACACAGACTCACCCATTAAAGAAAATGTCGCAGGCAGGCTAGGGAGGCAGCATTTGCCAAGGTCTACCACCATAAGCACTTCTAAAGAAGAGAGAGAGCAACGTTTAGCTGAGTGTACTCCTTTGATTTCTTATTCTGTCAGATCCTAGAGACACTCTCTCTCAGGTTGGTGGAGTTCAGGGCGCTTGGTTTTTGTGGCTGCTGGGTGATTTGTGACTAAACATAGCTAGGCTTTTGGAAAACATAAAGTGAAAAGAGATGAGCAAAGACTATGAAATGACCCGTGTTAAAAAGGGAGCAGAAACCCTTTACTGGTCTGCTGTTTTCTTTGCCTCTTGCTGAGTTGATATTTTCTCAGGGATGGGGAACAATAGGGATAGTAATAAAAGTCCCATTTTTCTTTAGAGATTTTTGTCACTTGCCAGTGAACGGAAGTTGGGCCCCTCTGGTTAACGATCTACCAACGGAGATTTTGTTTCTTTATGTAAAACCGTAATCATTAAACTTTCCTTTTCATTATCCTTCACAATGATTTCCAAAATCTATCCATTACTAATTATTACAGGTTGTGAAAAATTAATTGAATAAGTGGTTTATACAAAGTAACCTATTCCCCTTTTGGCTTGCAATGATGCTAAACTGTTTTGCATGCTCTTTTCAACATTTTGTTTGCTGGTATAGGAATGTGGCATTAAAAATACCTAATCTAGGACTTTTTAGAATTTTAAAACTTATTCTTTGATAGCTTTAAATATATATACAACTTTTCTTGATCGTGTCCACCTCACACTTCCCTTCCAACCCTTTTAGGCTTCCCCAACAAAACTCCCTGCATCCCTGTGCTCTGTCTTTCTTTTTCTTAAATAAAACCAGCAAAGTACAAATAGTGCTGTCTGTATGCCCATGAATGGGCAATAGCACCCTACCAGTAGCTACAGCCCTGATGAAAGGGAACTCTCTCTTTCTCAGCAGCCATCAACTCCTCGTGACTCCTCAGCTTGGAGTGGAGCATTGAGAGTCACTTCCTGATCTACACTGGAATTTTAACTAGACTGATCTTTCACAACTTTAGTGTCAGTAACCACAGTAACTTGGCAACAGCCATGTCATGTCCAATGGAAGCAATCTTCCCCATCCTCTGGCTCTAGCATCCTTTCTGTGTTCTCTTCTTTAATTTTTCTTGAATATCAGGTTTAAAATAGTTAATACAGATATTCATCCATAGACTGGACATATCTATGGCTGAATATCTACATTAACTCACAACCTCTTATTCTTATTACTTTGAGTAGTCTCTGCATTAACCACTGGTCATTGTAAAATAAGCTTCTTTTTGCCAGAAGCACAAATCTACAGGTACAAACACAAATATTTATAAGGCAGTTGGATAACATAAACATTTAGTAAAACAACAATAGTAGGTTTCTCCTAGTGCTCATAACCACCTGAGCTGTGAATTGACTATATTTATAGTGTCAGACAAGAATTCCCTCCTGTGATAGGCTTCAAATCCAACCAGAGAGTGGTTGGATACTCCTACAGTAGTCACGCCACTATTGCCCTGGAGGGACCATCTTATCTGGCTGGACAATGTTGGAGCATACAGGGTGCAGTACTAGGTAAGACCAAATATATAACTATCAATGAAACCCCCATCTCTGTCTCTGTCTCTGTCTCTGTCTCTGTCTCTGTCTCTCTCTCTGTCTCTGTCTCTGTCTCTGTGTGTGTGTGTGTGTGTGTGTGTGTGTGTGTGTGTGTGTGTGTGTTTGTGTGTGGGGGTGGGGTGGGGCAGCAATGAACAAATACACAGAGAATGATAAAAGGATATGGGGGAATGGGAATATAGCTCAGTGGGTAAAGTGTTTGCCTATCATGTGTGAAGCCCTAGGTTGAAAAACCAGCATTACATAAATAAGGGATAATAGTATATAGCTATAATTGGAATACTCTGGAAGTAGAGTTAGGAGGATCAGAAGCTCAAGGTTACTCTCAGCTATATAGCAAGTGGGATACATTTGCCTCTGTCTCAAGCAAAAAGAGGTTGTGTGTGTGTGTGTGTGTGTGTGTGTGTGTGTGTGTGTGTGAGAGAGAGACAGAGACAGAGACAGAGAGAGAGAGAGAGAGAGTATGTGTGGTATAGTGAAGAATATAAAGAGGATTAGCTTCCATTATATGACAAGTTCAGTGTTTGCTGTGAATGAGAAAATAGAATTAGAGATCAAGTTGATCAAGTTGAAGGACTAATAAGTAGCAAAGCTCCTATTCAGATCAGGTTGGTGGGATTCTTAAGAACCATGGTCTACCAGTCATAAAGCTGGGGAACCAGCATTGGACTGAACCAAGCCCTCTGAATGTGGGTGCCAGTTAGGAGGCCTGGGCAGCCTATGGGAACTCTCGCAGTGGAACCAGTATTTATCCATAGTTCACAAATTGACTTTGGGAGTCCATTTCCTCTGGAGAGATACTGTTTCAACCCAGATACACAGAGGAGAGCCTAGGCCCTCCCTGAAATGATGTTACAGACTTTTATGATCCCCCAGGGAAGGCCTCCCTACCCTTAGGGAGTGCATACGGGATGAGTCGGGGGGGTCAGTGGAGAGGCATGCGAGGATGGGAGGGAGAGGGAACAGGGTGATTGATATGTAAAACAAGATTGTTTGTAAATAAAAAATAAAAGAACTGTGGTCTACACCAAATGTATTGCCAATGGTCTACACCACAATATATACTGCACACAGTGTGTTTGCTGCAGTTACTGGCCTTGGGGTCAGCTGTTTATTAGAGAAAGAGACTTCTTCAACAGAGTCAAAGAAGAAGAGCCCTTGAAGGTAAAAAGTTGAGTAACCATCCAGTCCTACAGTCAGTCACCAAGCTCACTGTGCTTTGCCATGCAACAGAGCTACCTGTGTCCATCCCACAGCTCAGAGCCAAGTCCTCACTTATGCAACCCTAGGGAATGGGATGAGAAGTTGGGAATGAGTTATTCCTTTGGAGAAGTGCTGCCTCATGCTCTGAGGAGACCTGACCTGCTCTGAATCTTACTGTTGAAATTAGAAGAACGTTATTTATGTTTACCTGTAAGGAAGATTTGACCTTGGAACCCCAAATTCCTTGCTACCCCTGTGTGTAGTAATATATTTGCATATAATGTTTTGTGTGGTATGCATGTGGTCATGTAAGTTTGTTTGCATGTGAGTGTGCATGTGTGTGTGTGTGTGCGTGTGTGTGTGTGTGTGTGTGTGTGTGTGTGTGTGTGTGTGTGTATGATGTGGAAACCAGAGGTTAATAGCATGTATTTTCCTTAATTTCTTTCCACCTTGTTTTTTGAGACAAGGTCCTTCACTAATTCTGAAGCTCATGCATCCATCTAGACTGGCTGACCAGAAAACTCCAGGGGTCCTTATTCCTCCATATCCAGCCAGGGGGCATACCTGAGAGCTGGGCATCTGAACTCTGGACCTCACACCTGTACAGCTGAACTATCTCCCCTGGAGGCCCTTGTCCACAGATCTTTAAGGCTGGGGAAATCGTGTGGAAATGAAGTAATAAGGGTGAGGGAGAAAACTCGAGTTGCAACAAGGCTGGATGAATTGTCTGCCTCTTCATCTGTACAATGAGCTTCATACAGACTAATGATTCCAGGCCTCTAAGCTCTTTAGAATAATAACATTCCCTGTGCAGGGTTTGGTCATTATCAAGAGTTTTAGATATCCTCATACATATTGCTTGATTTTCAATTTCCCTCTTGTTTCAGAAAAAAAAAACATGGTCTTCATGACATGTAATAATTATTATATTTTACTTTTATCATAAGCAATCACATTCCTGTGCAATCTTTCCTCACATCTGAGAATGTTCTTAGGTTTTCTTTGTTATTCCAGAAGGTAATGAGTCTGTGTGTATGTATGAGGATGCTGTGGGTTATATTAATGATTTGGGCTTGAGGGATGCTGTAGTAACCCACAAAAGGAAACTATGTCTGAAGATGTTAACCCAGGAATGATTGTGATAGTTTTGTTTTCTGTGAATTGTATATAAGCTCTATTGTATTTTGCTATTTTAGTTTTATGTGTTTTAAAATGTTTCTTCACCAATTAATTATAAAACAGGAAGACAGATTTGTAAGTCAGCTTAAATAGCTGCATGCTGCTTGTGTTGAAAAGTATTCATTGACTAAACAAAGTGACATACACAGTGTTAACACATTTTAATAAACATGTAACACACATTTTAATGAATTCAGCTTAATTGCTTTATCCAGTGTCAAGGTGTTAAATGGGGAGAAAATTATTTCTACATCATGATTGAGATGTTAGAGACCAATTTGGCCTATTTGAAAAGAAAATGCCTGCAAGAGTATACATTCCTCTGCTAATTGAAAATACTCATATACTCATCCGGAAGTCTGTCTGGTAACTCCCTAGCACAATTTCAGCTGCCATATTGTGTTTCCAGATCCTTCCTCTAATTCTTCTCTTTCTCCCACTTCATGGTAAAACATGCCCACAGCTTGCCTTACACACATGTCATTTGCCTTACTTTCCTTCCTTTAGTCTAGTCACTCTGTGCTGTTTGCCGTCACAATGGACAGGTGTGCTTTTCTCTGGGAAATAACAGAGATTTAATAATCCAAAGCCAGGAGACTTTTTCATCCACAGTGAGAAAGAGATTTTTGTGCATGTTTGATGCTGTTGCTTGTTTTCTTCAGAGGTGAATACTTTCCTCATTGCTTCTTTTTCTTCTTCTTTTAAACAAATCAAATTGAACAGGTATTCCTGGAGAACCTCTGAATGGAAGGAATGCCAAGTCTCTCTTCTTCTGGAGCAGCAGGACCCACTTTGGCATGACACAGGACCAGTCTGTGGTGGTGGGATCCAGACCCGGGAGGTATACTGTGCCCAAAGTCTACCCGCAGCTGCCTCATCAAGGGCCAAGGAAGGTAGGCAGCTAGCTACTGGCAGAGGGGTTGCTGGCTGGAAGGAGAACCCACCCCAGTAACACTCATAGATTTTTTTTCCTAACTTGCAAATAGATATTTATTTATTCTTTGAAATTTTTATACATCTTATTTCTATCCCATCTATTCACTATTACCTACTATCAAATACCCCAAGTACCCTGCATTCCATCACTCTTCTAACTTCATGTCTTGCTTTTTGGATAATAACCCACTAAGTTCAACTAGTGCTTCTCATATGCACATGGGCAGGGGACCAACCACTGGGGCATGGGCAGCCTACCAGTGGCCAGTCAAAGAAGAGAGGTTTTTGCCTCACTCAGCTAATATCAACTGCTCAGATTTATTCAAATGTACTGATTGAATATACAAGAGTGGAGAACAATGCTAACATCCTAGAAGACTACACAGTTTCTATCAGATGCTTAGAAAATTGAGGCTGAATGAACCCTCTGCAGGTGTGATGGACTTGCTGTGTGGAACTTTGGGGGGCCTTTGGTTGGGAAGACAGGAGTCAAGCTTTCTTATTATGGAAACATGTAGCTTTTATTATGTAAAGCTTTTCCTGCTAGATACACCATTTTGACAAGTCCCAGAGTTCTAGAAGCATCTATAGATCTGGGCTTAAATGATCACCTTTTGGGATTTAGTGCTACTTAAAAAAAATAGTAATAGCTATTTTCTTCTGTAATTACAGTTATGAAAATTGACAACTTACATACTTGGTGTTTCAGGAGAAAACAAGACTGTAATAAGTCTTCTGAACTTGGAAAAGAAGGCATTTAGATTTGAAGCTCCAGATTATCCTCTCAACTGTTGAGGATTCTTCCTTTCCATCTCCCCCTTCTTTCCTTTCATTCATGACTGCAGCTCAGGGAGCTTCAGAGACAAAGACTTGACCATCTATGACCTATCTATTTTCTGCTTTGGCTTTGTATCTTCTATTGAAATTTTATCTTCCTGAAGTTTCTTCTATAAAGCACAATGATCTTCTTTTTAATAAATCTATTTCCAATGTTTCTTGTACCATATTTCCAGCTTTGTTAATGAAAAACTGCATAGTGAGAAGTATCCTAGACATTTTTTTTTTATTATTGTCAACTGGACACAACCTAGAGTCACTTGGCATGAACTTCAGTTGATCAATGGCCTTGATCAGGTTAGCCTCTGAGCACATCTGTGAGAGAGTGTTTTGATTGGTGATCAACACAGAAGTATTAGCACATTGTGGGGAGCACCATCCCTAGGCAGGTGGTCCTTGGCTAGTGAGCGGCATCCTCCATGGTTTTTCTTTCAGTTCCTGCTTGAGTTCGAATCCTGATTTCCTTCCCTTAGCAATATATATTGTGGCTAAGAATTGTGAGCCCGCTAAGCACTTTGCAAGTTGCTTTTAGTAGGAGTGCTTATATCACAGCCACAGAAAGCAAACTAGATTAGGCAGGGGGACTCAAATTAGGAAAAGCTTGTGGAGATGACTACACAATGAAAGAACAAGCAAAGAAGAGATGCTCATTACAGATTGAGTACCATTTGAATAAAGTATGGAAGAATGAAGATACTATTCTAGGACAGGGCACACTTCAGTGTAGCTGGACTTTCTTTTCAGCTTGGTCCACAGCTGATTAGCCCTAAGTAAGCATACAGAGATACATTAATTAAAAGTTGTTTGGTCAATAGCTCAGGATTCTTATTGGATAGCTCTCTCTTAATTAGTAACTAATTTCTATTAATCTAAGTATTTTCATGTGGTCTTATCTTACTGATAAAGGGACCAGACCTGTCACTCCTTCTTCGGCTACATGGCGTCTCGGGCCGCCCCTCTCTGCTGCCTCTCCCCAGCATTCTCCTCCTCTAGTAGCCTGCCTCTACTGTCTGCCTGGATACTGGCCAATCAGCGTTTTATTCATCAACCAATAAGAGAAACATATATGCAGAAATACACCCCCATCACTTCAGAATTAATATTTGGGTTCCTGTGCAAACACTGAGCAATTCAGAAGCCCTCTGTTCTGAGGCAAGGGATGTCTGGGCTTACAAACACACTGATGTGTGACTCAACCATGTCTTCTTATGCAGAGCTGAATACAGCAAATGAAGCTCTTTTCTAATATAGCACAGCCATACAGACTATACCAGATAGACTCACTTACTCTCTAGCAATCATCAAAGGTTTTATTTTGCTCAGTAGTGCATGTGAACCAGCAGGAGCATTTGTCTGTTACTTTCCTTCCTTGTAATTCTTTCATATGTAACCTTTGACAAGTCCAGTGGTATTCAAATTTCTTCTAGACCCAAATTAAAAGCAAGAGAACATTTGAGTTTCTATTGTAAAGTACAGTGATAGCTTGTCAAATTAGGTCAATAGGATTTAACTATTTCCAACTTTGGTAATAGTAGTAATTAAACTGTAATTTGCTCTGGTAGTAATTAAACACACAAACTAATGACATTTCTTTTTAAATAAATTGATTAACTTATTTATTTATGTGCATGCACACGCATGCATGTCACATGCTTATGTGTAAATCAGAGGACAAGGCCTGGGAGTCAGTTCTGTCTATACTACTTTGGATTTGGGGATCAAATAAAAGTTGTGAGGCTTGGATAGGCAATATCTCTCCTACCCCATTAAATTTGTCTTTAATCTGGTAACATTTGTTTCAAAAACATTCTGTCATGTGCCAAGCTTTACTTTAGTCCTAGGTCCTGTCATTATAATGGTATCCCTCCAATAATTCCCTATCTTTTCATTAGGAAAGCAATGTGATAATTATGCTTTGGTATCTTCAGGTCTTGTGATCATTGCAAACACTGCACTTTCAAAACAATTCAAGGACCCCTGAAGGTAATCATCATGGAAGAGCCAGTGCTTGTCAGAGGTCCACTGTTATTGTAGGTGGAGAGAACATAGGACCTGAATATAGGGACTGATGCTTGTGTATTGAGGTGGCCTGAAAACTGTTGTGAGGAGAACTAAGGTAGTAATGGAATCTACAGGTGTTAGAAAAAGAGGATTTCTGCACGACTCTGGAGTTAATACTTTATTTTTGATAGTATGATTAGGCTTGAAAGCAGAGAATGAATCTCTATATTCTCATCTCTTTGTAAGAATATTAAAAAAATAAGAAAATTAAAATATGCTAAGGAAACTCTCATAAGTGGTCAAGTCCTACTTGCAAACTTATTTGGCTATCCAGAAATGTTTTGAAGTATAAATAATGTTAGTTACCAACAGATGGGTCTATTTATTAAGGTAGCATTGAAGAAGATAACTCCTCAGTCTTGTCAAGGACTGGTCTTGAAGTCAATAAGCTCAGCTCATTTGAGAGTGAGAATGAAATGTCAGAAGTATAGTACTAGGAACCATCCTTTAATGTCACCCTGAGAAGAAAAACCAAACCGGCAGTTTAAACAAAGTGGTAGCATTTTATCTTGTTTGTGCTAAGGAAGAAACAGACAACTGAATGAAACAGCCTTTGCTACCTCACAGCAGAACACTTAATAAAAATCCCGTTGGAGCCTAAAGAAACAAGTGCATGGCCTATGGTACTTCCACCTTGGAAATTTCCTCTTACTGGGATAATGATCACAAGGAAAGTCAACAGTAAGAATGAAAGTGTGATGTTGACAAGCTCACCTTCATACCCCTCAGTGAAGCAGCAGTGAAAGGAAGAAGTGAATTAAGGCAGGGGACATGCCTTATTAATAAGCAAAGGGATGAGACAGAGGAGGGAGACTAAGAGAAAGAGGATGTGGAGCATGAATAGGGAAGGATGGCATTATACATCAAGTTTCAGGAACCTGTTAGACCTCTTCTATTGGACTGTGTTCTCTCTCTGCTTGCATCTCAAATGCATAAACTGCAGAATTGTGTTTGGGAACTGAAAGTCAGTTTTCCATACATTATTGCTATGGAATCCAAAGTCCACATGTAGTCCAGGGTTAAGTTTGAGACCATCTCTTTAGTTACCTAACCATAATCTTGATATAAGCAACTGTAACAGTATAGGCAAATTTTCTAGAAATGACAGGAAATAAGAAAGCCAGTAAAATACATGCATACACACACACACACACACACACACACACACACACACACACACACACACACACTCACACACACACACACACACACACATATATATGTATATATATGACTTAAATAATTACACACACATACACAATTATTTAAGTCCTACTTTATTATAGAGGCAATAATATACCATATGATTGATTGTTTTTACTGAATGGTTGGTAGATGGTAGTTACACAAACAGAACTAAATAAAGATATAAATAAGAATATAGCTTAAACATTCTCTCTAAAACTGTGAAGCATTTTCCATAGGCAAAATGATTATTAAATATTTATAGACAACTTGGTCACTAGAAGTCTAAATTAAGGTTTATTTTTATTGGCTGTTTTTGATCGCTTTTTAAAAATCTAAGTTCAGTGATTTTCTAAATCAAGTATAACAAACTTATGTTAGCGTGACATGGGCGTGCTTATTACATTAGTATGATTAGCAAAACTACCGGAGAGCTCCTATTTTATCATTAATTAAGTTATCAGGCACTTCTTGACATTATATATTTCTCAGTTTATTTAAGCTCAAGAAATACTTTACATGATTTAAGTGAGAGCAGGACAGGCTGGAAAAAAAGATGCAGGGTAGCTGAAGGAGATGCTTTACATTTGCTTATGAGAAAAGGAAATCACTTGTACTTAAGTACACATGTTTCCTGACACATGGATCCTTCTTAATATAAATTTGTAAAGGAAAAAATGCAGGTGTTCTTCCTGCGGATTCATGTATACATGTGTATATATGCATACATAGTTTTTTAAGTTAGCTCAGGGAAGTTGATAGTTCCATGCTATGTGTTACTGAAACAAAAGCTTGTAGCATCACAGAACAGGGAGATTGTCAAGGACCTAGAATGGATATGAGTATAGATTTTTCAATGACACCAAACTGCCCA